GGTGACGTGAAGAAATAGAACTGCGGGACACGGCAGAGGGGGCTCTCCCAGGAGTCGAAGATCTCGGTGCCGTTCCTCACCACTCGTTCTAGAAAACAGAGCCCAGAGGAGACTCCTCAGGTCGAAAGAGCGTCGGCTTTAAGATGGAAGGCGGAGCCAGAGACGCTTAGGGCTCCGACCCCTCCCGCAATCTAAATCATTTCTCTGGCGTTCAAGGGCGATCGCACACAACAGCGAGAGACTGAGCAAGGTACAGGCTCCAGAGACAGAGCTCACGACTGGGAACGTGGCCTTACCCGAAGCCAGATCCGAACTCAGGACCCACAGACCCTCTCCCTGTTTTGCAGGCGGGTGCAGGGCCCAAGCACTTGGGCCATCCTCCACTGCACTCCCAGGCCACAGCAGAGAGCTGGACTGGAAGAGGAGCAACCGGGACAGAATCTGTTACCCTGACTGGGACTAAAACCTGGCGTGCCGGTACCAAGTGAGCTGCGGCGCTGGCCAATAAAATCTTTAAAAAACAAAAAACAAAAAACAAAAAAACAAAAACAAAAACAAAACTTAAGCTTCTAAAAAGTTAAGGAAATTAGAAAAAGATCTCCTCTGTCTTTCTAGTGTGTACAGAAATTATAGCCAGGTACCTGTGAATTTTAAATGCACTAGAATTGCCTGCTCAGGCCTGAGGGGTCCAGGTAGCCATTGGGGGCCTGGGAGACCATCTTCCTGTTAAGCAGCGCAGTGGTTTCCTGCACATCTTCAACAGCGTGGGCCAAGACCGCCCGCACCCACCCTCTTAGTGTTTTTTCTCAGTAGAGAGGAAAACCAATAAATGCTTCCTCTGTTACAAAGGATTGTTGAGCTGAAAACAAGACACAGGGCGCGCTCTGTCTGCCTCAAAGCGGAACAGAGGTTTACACAACCACAGAGCCTCTCTTCCCGCCCCTGTGAGACACGTGGGAGTCGGCCTTGGCCGCCCCTAGCAGCTCACGCACAGTGGCTCAGGAGCCCACCTGACCCCACTAGCTCATTTCCCGCACGTGTCCCGCCCACAGTGCTGCTGCCTTTGGAAGCCCGGGCCTGCCTTTCCTCTGGTCACTCCTCTAGAATGTACTGTTTGAGGGTGACGATGTATGGAGATATGTTTATATATATGGTGGTAGGGGGAAGGAGATTGACCAAAAGTTCATGGAAAATATGTGTGCCGACAGTCTATGTGATTCACATATAAATTCCCCAGGGTGTTCTGAAGTCCCGTGTATAAGCCAGACTTTGTGTAAGCCACTGCTGTGAGTTACTTTTCTCGCGTGATGTGGTAGCATATGGTGGATTCCCCGCGGAAAGGAACCAGGACTTGGGCTCCATCTTAAGGACTTATCACAGGCCCTTGCACTTGGTGCATTAGCCATAGCAGCCAAGCATTCAGTGATGGTGTAGCAGGAGGATGAGTGGAGTCTTTTGGGACCGGTTTT